GACCAGTGGGTATGAGCAAAGCATTTCCCGATGAAAAAAAAAAGGTAGTAATCTAACTTCTAATCTAACGTAAGATTATAATCTGACGGAATTCACAATTTTACGGTCAAATGTATTTCAAAATGTTCCATCTGAAATTGTAATGAGACTGGTTAAAACTTCAATCAACTTCAGTTTCCAATCAAAACTCGAAATGAAATGTAATGAATGCAAGTTGTAAATAATAATTAATTGGAAACTTTGCAAAAGCATTTTGATTTTAATTAGCGGCATGTTACCGTAAAAACTTGTGTTTCTATAGAAATTGAGGGAAATGAAACGGCTTCAAAAATGTATTTCCGTAATATCAGCGTAATTATACTCCACTGTGGTATTAAACGGGACTATTCCCACCTCTCGTTCCCACCACTGCAACTCCTGTGTAGCCAGGATCTACAGCTTGACCGCCACAAAAACCCAACCAATGAAGGTCAAGTTTGTCCCGGGAGACAGTTAAACTGTCATTGGACCCGCAACGAAATTAATCAGAAGAACATAGGAGGAGTTCGAAATTAAGGTTCGACTTCCCTCCATTGCAAAGCGGATGACAGGTGACAAACAAAGGTTTAAAACCTTTAAGAAAAGATTGTGCACCACGGACAATAGATTAAATTAAGGGGGCCTATCTTATGAGCAATTAGCAACTACCTGCCAATAATATTTTTCACAAAATCGCTTAAAAGCACGGAAATTTTTCCTTGTCGCGACAAGATCGGTGTAATAAATTGCGGAAACAGATGTATGTTGTATTGAATTAAGCATTATATCACGTTCATGTTTCCAAAGATCACACTCCCACAAGATATGATGGGCAGACTGCTCATGACTGACATCATCAGTGGAACACTCGCAAAAAGGAGACGGAACTAGTTTGAATTCGTGAAGTTTATGTTTAAAGTTGCCATGTCCCGTGAGGAACTGCGACGAGCAATGGTCGATTTCTAACCATCGCCTAGTTAGACGTTCGCGTACATTCGGGAAGAATTTATATAAGTGACGTCCTTTGACTGACGTATCCCATCTTTTTTGCCATTCATTAAGTAAATCTTCTTCAACGACTTCTCGGGAATCAAATAATCGACTTATTTTAGAACGATCGCGGCTATTTAAGAAATCGGACTTGGTATTACATGGATCTCACAACTTTTTACCGTAGAACAACTGAGTTGCGAGACTTGGTTTTTTTGACAAGTATTGTTTTTGATGGGATCTCATTTCTTTTTGTATTTTGTAGACAGCAGTTATGTATCTAGAAAACTGGACCGAAATTGAAAAATTTTACTCGACTTGGCGGTTGCACTACCGTGCCCCCAAATATTTTAGTTTTTCCTTGATTCATACACCAAACACTACTCATATTCCAAATTTGAAGCTTCTAGGTCTGCTAGAAGTGCCTTAGAATTTTGATGATCGGTGAGTCAGTCAGTCAGTGAGTGACAAAATTAAGAAACTTTGACCCGTTATAATTCTTAAACTACTGGTTCAAATTGAATGAAATTTAAAATATACCGTGTCTTTACAATGCCTGCATGGTTACTGAAAATTCAGTCTTCTGGTTTTATCCACAACGAAGTTACAGGGGGTCGAAAATGGCCTGAATTGCTTCGAGAAAAGGATGGTACGGCCGTGCCGCTTTTTTGCTCGACTTGAGATAATTAATAGTATCAGGTGTTACTTTGCGGAAATTCATAATTAGATGTTCAAAAGATAATTTTTTTATTATTATTATTATTTTTTTTATTTTTTTTATTTTAAAATTAGTTAGCTTCGTTCTTACGATTGGCACAATACAGGTATTTACGAAGTTTGGTTCGTGATAGGGTGATACACTGTAAAGCTTCAGCCAAACCAACGCGTGCAGATCGCGTCTGTGATGGCGATCACTGCGCGTGTATAGACCGAAGCACTCACGCGCACCCACAAGGTGGACCGACGACATCATAAAGGTAGCAGGAAGGCGCTAGACGCAGGCCGCTACCAACCGGGCAACATCGAAAGCATTGGGGGAGGCCTATGTTCAGCAGTGGACGGCCTATGGCTGAGTTGATGATGATGAATGCGCGAAGCTTAACATTTTATAGAGCGGCTCGTTGATCTGTTACAAGTATTACTCTAGTCTATACTCACCTTTAATTGAAACGTGTAAACAAAGCTTTCACAACCATGATTGAACCGACTGCAAACTACTGTATTACAAAGACAGTCAAGCTGTCAATCCAGTACAGTGCACTGTCTGTCGGATATCAGATTCGGATTGGGATCTGAAAGCCAGTAGTTGACTGTCAGAGTTGAAAGCCGTGATGGCAGATAGCTTTTAAGCTATTGCAAATTGTAGCTTGAGTGACAAGCTTCGAGGAAATGCTTGTAACATACGAGAACATACATAGATTCTGTATTCAGATGGCAGATAGCTTTTGAACCATTGGTAAAGCTTGACAGGCAATCACGAAATTCCTATTTTGCATTACCTACTACGAGAAGTACGAGTAGATCCCCTATTAATTACACTTTGCATAAAGTACTTAATTACTATATTCTTAGGAATAAATATCAATCTGAGTTCCACTGTAACAATAACGTTAACCGATGTTTTTTGTATGCAGTTTGACAGAATTTTGACGTTTGTTAAAGTAAAAGCAAGAAGCTTACAAGGATCATACGCTCCTTTAGAAAAAAATTGCCTCAAACTATTCAACAGTGCACTTTAATATTTCCTATATTCAGTCCCCGGAAGCTTCATTAAGTAATAATTAATTATTTATGCACCCGTGAGAAGCCTAAGTGGCTTCGCTTCTTTCATTAACGTATGCATTATTATAACTTTAGCTTAGAATATTATTTTAAGTATTTCCTTACGAAACCAAGTAAATATGACGTAGTAGCTTTAGAAATGGAAGATGGTAGAGAAGTGGTAAAAGTAACGACCACTTAGAGGCGTGCAACGAAAATGACACTGCGCGAACGTGTCTAGCAATCCCTTTGTGAGGAATCGCGAGCGCGCTGATGTGAAATTCAACTAATACCCATTGTGGTGGTTGATATTATGCACTGTCGTTTCTGTTTCAAAGGAATTGCTAGTGGTCGCTGTGACGTTATAATGGCACGGAATAATTGTAATTTTGCTTTTGTATTTTTTATTTGACTATAACAACAAATATAATGAGACTTTACTACACTTACATAGTATGTACACATGGTCACAGTGTTAACTATCCATATCCGTGTTTGCTCTCGCTCTCATAAAATGGTGATTATTTGCGATACAATGAGACGGCATGATCGACAATTGGCAGTTAACACTGTTGCCGATAGTACATGAATATTGGCTGTAAGGTCTAGATTATTTTTTAGGAAAGACTTAAGAAAGTAGCCGTATTAGACCTTTAGTCTTTGTATGGCTGATCTTTGAGAAAATGAAAATAAAACGCACATAGACTTCACCAGAAATTTCAGCCTCATTCGTTCGTTCGTTTCAGCCAAATGACGTCCACTGCTGGACAAAAGCCCCCAAGGTTTTCCACATTGAACGGTCCTGCGCTGCCCGCATCCAGGCTATTCCCGCGACCTTCACCAAATCGTCGGTCCACCTAGCAAGAAGCCTGCAAACGCTACGTCTTCCAGCTTCATATTACATGAAAACTACTAAACACGCATGAAAATCTTCACAATATGGATTTGACAATTGAAAAATACAATTTACCTAATACTAAATTAGCATTAAAACAACGTGTTCTCATTATTTTACCTATACTATGACTCTCATTTACTGGGCTTAACTATTATTTTAAAACCACTCCTACTTATTCAAAACCACAAACCGATTCCAAAGAATGAAATACGAGTAGAAAGCATTAAACAAATCCACGACAAAGTTGAAGCTGCTCTCCTGGCGAGGGCCCTCCAGACTTGTTGCATGCCAAAGCGGTGGTTTCTTTGAGGCAGTTGTTCAGCCATTTTGTGATTTGTTCACTTTCAAAGAAAAGGTGCTAAAGTTTTGCTTATTGTCGATGGTTATCAATTGGATGTTCTATCGATTCATTGTGTTCATTCGAAATTTTTCAGTCTTTCTTTTGGAATCTAAGTAACAATTCTGAAAAGGCACCTTTATGGTACAATTGACGTCTCGGTTGAAAAATGTAACTTTTTCAAAAACTACCTAGTCCTTTACTAAAACATATAAGCCTAGGTCAAAGTTCTACACGTAATTTTATTACTATTCCCAAACAATGGCCTACTCAAAAGCCTAAAAGGCCAGAAATTTTAGAAAATAAAACAATGATTTAACAAAAAAAACCTACTTCAGAAATTTTTTTTGTACCTAGTTCAAATAACAATCGGCCAAAATCAAATACAAAGCGAAACCGTAATAAAGCCTTTAATTAAGTAGAAAACATACGAGAAATACTATCAAAAGCGAACCGGTCCATAAACTCAGTTGTTTTAATAAACAAACAGTTTTTGTCAAAGAGATGAATATTCAGTGACTAAAGTTACAGATTTTTAATTAAAAATCGGCGCTCGCCAACTATGGATCCGTTTTCAAACTTTTATTGATATTTTAAATACGAGTACTACCTACCTGTATTCAGACTGCCGTGGTGCATATTATATAGATACATGGGCTACTATTACTGCTACTATAAGCTAATTGAGGTGGAATAGGTCATGTCAGAGCTAGTTCAGAACTTTTTTCTGTCCATGGATCGAATAGCTTCAACGAATGATATCAATGTCAATGTTTTGAAAGCGTTTTCTTTTTTAATTTAAAATGTAGGTTGGAGGAGAGGCACCCACTGAAAACTAGCGTCATGCGTGCATGCACGCGTGACCCGACTAATGCTGAGCGGGCGCCTTTTTGACACAAAATATGCATGTATAGTTTTAAGTCCCTTTGTTCTGTTTTTTTTTATTTTCCTTTTGTGTCAAATAAAGTTTTTCTTGTTCTTATTCTTAGTACTCACCATAAACAGTGCCAACAGCCGATGCGAATTCGCGAGCAATGGCGCCGTCGACCAGAGAGTCGAAACAAGCGCTCAATGCGCGAGCGCAAGCACTCGTTCCAATCTGTGTGAGAAACAACGTGAATTAGAACTTTATGCAATAGACAATACGGCTTGTTTTTGTGGGTGATCTCATGTTGATTGATAGAACACACGTTACTTTTTTCGAAAATCGTACAACCACAAAAAGTGTTGTAAAGAAAATACCAAAAAGTTTTTATTTAACATTACAACAGCATCCTTTACATCAAAATGCTCGAAGGTACTGTCTTTTTAGTTTATAACGAAGTCTTCTTAGATAAAAATACATGAACAGTCATAGCCAGATTAAAAAATAAAATACGAGAACATCGCATGAGCTCACTGTAAAAGGATTTTTATTCGAGATATCTCGGATATTTGTTTCAGCAATAGCATTTGTTTTTAATATCCTTTATTGGTAATCCTTCAAAAGGGTAATATAAGAATTCAAGTTGTACCTAATAAAATGTAATATCAGTGTTATTTTCTGTCGTTTGTTTAAAAAAACATATTACTTTTGAGCTTCCTATCGACAAAGAATATACCAAGGATAAGAAATTATTAATGTATTTTGTAATAATAACTTGTGACATTTATGCCGTCGTCCTTAGAGGATTAAAAGGGAAAAGCGGATTGGTAAATTAAAAGATTTATAGTAATTTCAATGATAAATTAGACAGACGTCAACACTAATAAATTATAATTGAGATGGATTTGTTTTTGCTTTTGAGACGAATTTGCCTCTGTACAAACAAGATTCAGAATGTGCTCTACCAATTTTAAAATAAACAAAATATCTATTTTTCTTTAACGAATAAATTAATAGTGTTTAAATGGCCAATCGCAGAAAAAGTGTAAAATACGTGTCCAGTATTTTTTGATCAGTTAACCGACGGACTAATTCAAACTCTTGCTTTTCTGCCCAGAAAACATCCCTATTACGACTACTCTCCAAAGATGGTCGGGCTGTGATGGCACCATTTTAATATAAAACAAATATAACTTAGTTGCATAAGATTGTTTCTTATCGTCATTCAAAGAGACTGCAGGTTTTTACATTACCGCATTTCAAGTTCATACTCATTACATTCACTGATACAAATGCACGAACGTGCATGCACGAAGTATATTCAAAGTTAACAATAGTCAATAGCTATATCAGTAACATTCTTGTAACAAAATAAACTTATTACAAGTACCTATAACGTATTCACGTGTTACAGTATTTAGCTTGATGTACCGTTGTACAATACCGGTGAGTGAAGTGGGAAAGTGGGAAGTTAACCCATTCATAATTAATTTAGCTTTTAGGGTACAACACGGTACTTACACAAGGTGAAGGTTTTGATTGAAGTTAAAAATAGCTTTGGGTTTTATTTTTCTACAAAATGTTTGGTCGCTTTTTACATTGATATTTGCCACTGAAAACATTTTCATCTGTATGAAAATCAAAACATTTGATAGAAGAAAAAACAGTATTTGTTTAAATAGCTCAGAAAACAATTTATGATATGAATTAAGTAGACTATTATTTAAGCATTTTGAGTCTCGTTATCAAGTCGTTGAATTTAGATGTTTTCATCATTATGTCATTTAGTCACCTCAAAAAAACAAGGTGCTTTCAATTTACTGAGGTAAATGGAGGATTTGGCATTCGCTGCCCACGCTAGCCATACAAGGCTCTAAAAAATCCAGGTGTGGGTGATTCTATTGTACTCTGATGGAACCACGCAATTAAAGGAAAAAGTTTCAAGGATGAAAAATGTGGTTTATTCACCAACTCGACACATGACACTGGACACATGACTGGACAATTTTGTGAAACTCAAAATTAGTACTTATCACAGATTTTCACATGAATTAGGTAAATCACTTTTATGTTTTCGTTAAATTCTTGGCGTGTCCAGAAAAGTGTCAAATTTTGAGTTGCACCAGTCTTTTGTATCGAGTTGGTGAATAACCCAATAGCTGTCTAGTTTACACCCTGTGCATCTGCTCAGTTGTATAACTAATGCAAGGATGTTAGTTAAGCGTTCAGTTTAAAGGCATCTTCTCGGGTGAGCATTGATTTACCGCCACAGGATTTTACACCATATTCGAAAGAAAACAAGGCTTACAGTCACAGCTACTACCAAGACTTTATCATGTACATCAAGCTAAGGACTGTGGGGTCTTAAATAGTTGTAATAGGGTTGAGTTTCCAACAAAAATGTACAGTCTGATGAGCTATCGTCTCTACATTGTCGATGGAACTTTTAAAACCATTTGTCTTGCGGAGTTGCGGCGTATCTGTTGATTCGATTAAAACATTATTTTCTACGTTAGTTGGAGCTGGCTTGAGTTAAACTTTTAATGGAGATCCGTTGTTGAAAAGGTCGGTTAAACATTTACCTTCATAAGTTTGATGAAATTTTGTTGAAATATGTAAGGCTCCGTTCAGATTTTTAACTTAAATTATCCAATAATTTAAGTTAAAAATCTGAACGGAGAATGAAAAATCTGAATTCTAACTTAAATTGTACAGTATTCCAACGAATATCATATCAAGCTAAATGTTGCGCCTTGCGGCATGTTATTTATACGTTCAAAATAATTATGATAAGTGAAAAAAGAACAGTGCAAACAAAGAGCAGTGTTGAAAGTCCTACTGTTTCTTCCGAAGCGGCACCCCACAGTCTTGTTATATGAAAAAGCTGGGGTACTAACAGTGCGCAAACTGTTCGTTTACCAGTGTGTACGTAGATGGCATCGAACTACTGCCATACCTCAGTGTAACACAACAAAGAGGAATAATCGCTGTTTGAGGCCTAGAGTCAAAAGCCGGCATGCCCAGAGGTTCTTTAATTACCTGGCACCAAAGCTCTATTCTAAAATTAACACCAAACTTAAGATTGACGGAAGTATAAACAATAATACATATAAAAACTTAGTTGCTAAATATCTACTACAGTGTGATCCACATGATATTGAAGATTTACTAATACCCTTGCGCTAGATATCAATAACAACACACACATACTAATCTATACCTATACACTTACATACACTCCACACCACATCACACACACTATACCACACTAATTATTTACATCAACACTATCTTTATCGCCTGAATCTTCGTCACTCTGATCGTCATTAGTGGTCATCTAACAAGACAACAGTAGAAAAATACCAATATTGCTTTATGTTTGCTGAAATTATCAAATTTTTCAAGAGTGGTGGCAATATAGTGAAACATCAATAGCCTAAACAAAGAAAAATAATAAAAAATAAATTTTATTTTCTCGCATGATTTGCTTATGCATAGACCTACTGTACCTTATATGGTACACGTATTTTAGACTAGAAAAAACCGTATAAAAATAATCTAAAAAAAATTTTTTTTGTAGTCATGATATCTATTACACTCTATTTTTGAAAGAAAATTGATAAATATTATTATTTACTATAAATAATATGAAATATGTCTTCTTGAATACATTGTAAATATTTTTTTTGTTTTCTGTCGTGGAATTTCAAAAATATTTCCGAAACCACTTGTCAAAACGTATTTTTAAATATTTTTATGTAAAATAATCACTTTAAGCTTACTGTTACAGTCATTTTTACAAAACAACAACAGTTTGGTACTTCAAAATATTTTCAAAAAGATACCGTACCACATAGGGTACGGTAGGTCTAAATGGGTTAAGGGATATAAACAACTGTCTGTATTCACCTATTGGGAAGACACTGGCTCCTGAAATACAGTTTACACTAGTTTAGGAGCCAGGGTTTCAATACAAAATGTTACAGTGTATTACATCAATAAAAATATTCTTATTCTTATTCTTAAGTGTTATTTTGCTATAACAATATAATTATAGTCTCATATTGTTATGTCGTTGTGTCAAATGTACTATTATTGTTTGTTCTCTGTAGCTGTGCCTAATAAATAAATAAATAAATTTACTTTAGACTGTACCAAACTGATTTAAACCTAGAAAATTACCAAACAAAGAGATATTTTCAAGTTAGCTTTGTTCGGAGATAGAACCTGCAACCTATGATGTTCTAGCTGAGTTCACATCTTTCTATTTACACATTTATTTACTTACCAGATATTCCAGAACCATATTCCATCCGATGACGAAAGCGACGAACTCGCCGACGGTGACGTAAGAGTACATGTATGCCGAGCCCGTCGTGTTTGGGACTCGAACGCCGAACTCGGCGTAGCATGCGCCTGCGAAAAAAAACAACGATTTTCATACATTACAATTTAAGCATTGTTCTTGTCTTACACAGGGACAAAATGGCAAGGGAGATCAGCTGTCTCGCGCCATAACCTGCATCACTCTTTTGACCGATCGTCATGAATTTTATTGTTCTTGTCAAACCAACGATATAAGCAAGCAAGTCTATACTAACGCTCGCACACTCACTGCGGGCGCCCGTCCCACAGTCGCGACAGCAGTATAATTACGCGCGAGCGATAAGGATGGGTAGCTTGGGGTCATTGGACAAAATTCTACGTGCTCCCGGACCAGACTATAGTACTTGTCCCACTGCCATGGAAAAACACAATAACTATACAGGGTGTGGTTTTTTAAAACAAAGCCCATTTCACGGATGATAGTAAACACACATGAAAGTGATTACAAGAAAAATATAAATAGATATTTACCTATTACTTTTTTGTAAAAAAAACTCGTTAAAATGTGAAAGTTCACAATGTAAGCTGTAAGATGGCTGTAACTCGTATTTTAAACATAATAACAATATCTAGTCAGATTTCGGGAGCGGGGTGGAAGCTTTTTAAAAAGGATTATATTTAATTAAACTAAGTGATCACGTCCTCGCCGAGTTGGAGGCGATTTAATAATGATTTAATATTGTGGCCGATCGCAGTCGTCCAGTACGGTGTTTACAATTTAGTTCTGCTGACACATCTCTTATGTGAATAACAATTCTACGAATGCTTACACTGTAGAGTGGAAAGTGATGACTTATCTTGTTTAGTCTAGAGCAGAGGGAGCTGACGGATGCATAACTCCTCCCTCCCTAAGTGAGAAATTATCGGAAGTTTCATTTTTATGAGTATTCCGATAATTTCGTTTACATAAAATTTTTACATGTTTGCGGAAGGCAATTAACACAATTAACATAAAAAGAATCAAAACTAATACAAATGTAAAGTATGTAAAATAAGAAGTGTCTGTTTCATTTTCACTAGCACTGATTGCTGCACTGTGTTTCAGGGCGTACGACATGTATTTGATTTCATCCAAATTGATTCCATGCATATTGAGTGCGCGTGCACCGGATAGCGTTGCGTTTACAGGTAGCTCGGGTAGGTGAATCACCGGTACGTGTTCTACGGCGTCTGATGAAATGTAGAGTCGATGGTGGATCTGCAGGCCATGGATTTCCAGGTCACAGGGCTCATCGATGGTGATGATGTACGTGCCGAAGACTGACTGCTTACTGACTTCGCTGTCGCAGTGTTTGGTCAGCGTGCCTTTCAGTCTGCTGTACAGAATCCAGTTGTTCGCGTTGAGCTGCTGGAGTTTTACTTCTTCCAGCTGGATCTGGTGCTGCTTGCAGGAGGTAAGGTCCTTACTGAACCTCATCAGCTGTTCCACGCAGGTAGGCTCGTTATGTAGAGCCTGGTTGTCCGTAGAGCACAGGAAGCGATCGCCGGCGGCAAGCGGGCGACACGGTGTTACGATCGGTAAGTATTTCAAACCCTTCGCCAAAAGGTAAGGAAATTTGGGGAAAATGGAAAGCGTAACGTTTTGGGATTCTTGGAATATAGGAAGTGAGTATATCTTATAATAATTGTAAGTATAATTATCTATCAATGGTATTTCTAAAATAAATGTTATCTGATCCTGTTTCATATAAGATTTTACACAAATAGTTTCTTCTAAATTTAACAAATTACTTTCCGTAGGCTGGTAAACTAAATTGGCAGAGTTTGAAATTAACTTTAAATGATACAATAATTCTGTAGAGTTTACAATTGCTTGGTGTAAAATGGATACTCTACTTAATGCTAATGCTGTTTCTATTTCACTTAATCTTATAAATATTGTACGGAAACTACTTATGAATATGTTATACACTCCTAGTATGTATGTAGAAAAAGTCCAATCGTTTTGTGTGGACGTTATGTTTTGCAATAGGCTTTCAACTCGTTTCAAGCGTTCATCAATAATAATAGAGTTGTTATTTATTTGCTCTGAAATATTTATGAAACTGTCGAACATTTTTGAGACCAGGGTAATTTTCTTAGATATTATAACTTGATTATTACTCAATTGAGAAGTCAACTTATCATATTTAAGTGCATCATCGTGGTCAAGGTTTCCTGTAATTAACTTTATAAGAGATCCTAATGGATTAATAAGGCCTCGCTTATAGCGTTGCTGTGGTACTAATTGCCTGTATTTTTCTAATGTTATGTCGCGGATGAAATCAGTGTGATATTTATTATTGATAAATTCATGATAATATGGATTGTTATAATCGATTAAAGTGTCTAATTGCCTGTAACTATGGGTTAAACTAACAAGATCGGAGTAAATTCCTTTTAAGTTGATTACTTTAATAATTGTCCAAAAATCTGTTTGCAAAAATGCTTGTCCTTGTTTTACCGGTAGAATGCCTGGATTATCTTTAATTGGTTGCAGTTGAAGGGCCAGCGCCTGCGTCCCTATCATCAGCAGAAGGCACCACCTGCGGAGGGCGTTTTATGTTTTTAATAGGCACTTTGGTAGTCCTATCACCTACTTTAATTGGTAAGATGTTTCGCTTGGCTTTGCCTACAACCTTTGCTTTTACATAACGTGGTTTGTCTTTGCTTTTACGCTTATTTACGTCTTTTGCAAATATTATGTTTCCTTCGGAAAACTCTATATCTGTTTCACCACCTTTCTTTTCCCTAATGGTTTCCTTTTTGGCTGTCGTTTTCTGAGCTATGTATTTATATAAGTGCTTTGTACGTTTCGCATGATCTTGAACTAATTGCTGATAATATTGCTTTTCGAAATTGATTCTAAATGGACTGTCTGAATCTGTATGACCAAAAACTACCTCAAATGGTGTTAACTCAGTTACAGAGTGGATGGTGTGGTTATATGCCATTACTGAATATGTCATAACTGATGCGGCATCTGTACATCGTCTTTCGTATTTAGCCAATCTATAGATCTCTATAATTGTCGAGTGAAAGCGTTCGATAAGTCCCATAGAATTAGGGTTATTTGGGGTTCCGATGTGAAGTTCAACTTTATGTAAATTTAGAAATTCTTTCATGAGTTCGTTATTAAATTCGGTTCCTGGATCTGAGCTTATACGTTTTGGAATTCCGTAGAATGAGAAATATTTCATAAGTGCTCTAGTAACGTCTGATGTTGATTTGCTAGGTATCTCTATTGCTTGTCCTAATTTGCTGAAGGCGTCAATTAGGGTTAAATATGTGATTCCTTCAATACTGAAGAGATCAATGAAAATTTCCTGAAATGGGGAATCTTGAGTTTTAGTTAATTGTAAAAATGGTTTTATGGGTTTCCTATCGTATTTCATTTTACGGCAGGCTTCGCAAGCGTTAATGATTGCGGAAACTGTTTGTTGCATGTTAGGCCAAAAATGATTTCTACGAATTCTAATCAATGTTTCCTTAATACCACGGTGGCATGTTTTTCCTTCATGGTATTGGATAACTATTGCTTTTTGTTCACCCTCGTCTTCTATGTAATTTACCCGTTCTGTACACTCGTAAAACTGAACTACATCTTTCTTAAAAAGTTTAATAATTACGTCTGTGAAAATTCGTCTAAGTTGATCTGATTCAAAATAAATGAAATACTTTGTTTTAGGTTTGATATATTCTTTTAAAAACTGTTTTACTAATTCTGCATTATTATCAGGTAAATGTACTTCAAGAACCTTTTGTTTATCGCGCGAAAGGTTTTTGACTGAAAGTTCATTATCGAATCGTTCAAAGACTAATATTTGATTAGGTTTGTTATCGATTGCTTCGTTTAAGATTGGGATGCCTTGTGATTCGGTATCTTTTGCGGAATGAATAGTTTGTGAGTTATTTGATTGTTCATCGACACAGTCTGAATTATTTGACGACGGAATCGGATATTCTGAACCTAATTGTCTACTTCCTTCTGAGGATGTAGAGTCGGAAATTACTATTGTACTTCCTGATGATAATTTTTCTATTTTCTTTACTACTTTATCAACATGTTTTTGAATACGTTTTTCCTTTTTGCTAACATTTACTTTCATGGACTGATTATCTGAATCGAGAGCATTTACTTTTATGCGGGATAACGCGTCTGCGTTTGTGTTTTGTTTATTGATTGATTCATTACGGTAATTAGCGGTTGCACTAGGCATTCTAACGTTGTCTGTGAATTTTTTGTAATTTAAAATGATTGGAATGCATGCAGTTTTAGTTCTGAGGACTCTATTTTTAATGTCGATTAATGCTTCCAATTGTTCTAATAAATCTTGTCCAATTACACCATCGTACCATTTGTGTACGTCATATAAATAAAATTTGTGATATTTTCTGCATTTAAAAGTTGGAAAAAGGGGAATTTCTATGGTTTTGTTGTGCGTACTTGACGCGTGTGTACTCACAACTTGGAATGGTTCATTTTTTATGAATTTACTGAAATACTGATAGCCAATACGCGGACTGAAGAACGAACGCATGCTGCCAGTGTCGATCATCATGCGAGCATCCAGTTCCGGTAGGTAAATATATGGTAATGTTAATTCCGGATCGCAATTAATGTTTATCTGTTCTGTTCTTTGATGGAGGCTGTTTCGTGAAAATCCTGTTGGAATTCAGTTTCCTGGGTTTCCTCGGGAGTTTCCTCGAAATCAGGGTAATACTGTTCGCTGTACATGTTATTATATTCGTCTATAGGGTATTCACAATAATATTGATCGTAATACGACTGTTCTGCTTCGTCGTAGTTCAGATCATTTAAGTTTGTTTCATTTACATTGTTTGGTTTTGTAGCCGTACGCATAGACACGTCGGTCAGCTGCATACGTGGCGGCTGGACTTGTTGGGCTTGCTGAGCACCGAACTGTGGCTTATAGCCGAATTGAGGCGGTTTGTAACCGAATTGCTGAGGAGGATGTCTATAGCCAAATTGCTGGGGCGGTCTATATCCGAACTGCTGTGGAGGCCTGTAGCCGAACTGCTGCGGCGGCCTGAAACCTGGTTGATGCGGAGGCTTGAAATAGCCGAATTGTTGTAAAGGTTTATTTCCATATTGCTGGAAGGGTTTGTAGCCTTGATTAGGCGGAAGGCCAAATTTAAATTGTGGAGGAATTATCGGTTTGAAAGCATTAGAGCTGACAAAATGAGGCTGATTGCCTGAAAATTTCTGTTGAGTTGGCGTAAACGAATTGTTAGGTTTGGGTTGCGAATGCATTTTGCTTCGCATGTTATATTGGTCCATAAAGTTTACTTCCTCGAGCACAATCGAGAGGGCGGCTTCCAAAGTGGACGGTGCCTTTAGTCTCACAATGCGCACAAGGTTTTCTGGTAAATTATAGAGAAACACGTTTAACGCGGTGTTGTTGTATATGGTGATTTTGGCGTGACGGATTGACTCGTCTGCTATGGTGTTTACTTTGGATATAAGCATTGACCTGGTTGATTGCACGCGGTTGCAAAAGTCTGTGTACGATTCATTCGATCTGATTTTTAGTGATTCTAATTCGATATTAATACATGCCTCACTACGCGGGTCTCCAAAATGTTGTGTCAGAATTTCCTTAAGTTCCGACCAGTTTGTTAAATTTTCTTGTTCTGATAACAGTGCTGCTGCATTTTCTGTAAGGCGGCTAGTGATAGCGTGGTACACGTATAAATCTTGCTCAACCCCACCTCTATATCTCGATATAACATACTCACATTTTTTAAGGAACAAATTTAGATGTTTTTTGTCACCATTAAAAAATGGAATTAATCTGAGCATCTCGTTGGGTATTGGCGTGATTTGTACGGATTCGATTTGTGGTGAAGCCATTTTTACTGAATTTAAATTTATTAAATTGATATGCGCCAGTCAGAATTTGTAACAGTACTTTACACAATATTCACAATTAAAATACACGTAGTGATTACCGTGTAAAACACACAATAAAATACACAATAAAATACACAATAAAAATACACAGTAAAAATACACAGTAAAAATAAGAGTGGTTCTTAATTTAATTGTTCAATTTCGAGAGACAATTAACTTAACAACTTTAATAATTTTTACTTTACACAATAAACTTATTTAATTTAATTCAATATTCAATTTATTTACTTTATTTCACTTTATTTACTTTATTTCAATTTATTTACTTTATTTCAATTTATTTTCTTTACTTTGTTTCAATATTTAATTCACTTAAATCTAAACGAAAAGTGTTAACGATAAAGTTTTATGACGAAAACACAAAATGCGATACCCTGGGAGAAGTTCTATCCCGGAGTAGCAATATTTCCCTACGATTTAAAAAGCATGAAAAATACACAGAGGATAAGGAGTGGAAGGATTGGCGAAAAGTTCTACTCACCAACCGACCGTTCTCTGCATACTCGTTCCACCCGTACTTCGATGACAAATTTATTTGGTTCGGCGGATTTATTAGTTTCCCGTAGTATCACGAATTTAAACGGCGGATTTTGACACCAATCGCGTAAACTTTAGGAAAACTTGCAGCAATAAATCCGAACGGCTGCGCCAGTCAGATTTCGGGAGCGGGGTGGAAGCTTTTTAAAAAGGATTATATTTAATTAAACTAAGTGATCACGTCCTCGCCGAGTTGGAGGCGATTTAATAATGATTTAATATTGTGGCCGATCGCAGTCGTCCAGTACGGTGTTTACAATTTAGTTCTGCTGACACATCTCTTATGTGAATAACAATTCTACGAATGCTTACACTGTAGAGTGGAAAGTGATGACTTATCTTGTTTAGTCTAGAGCAGAGGGAGCTGACGGATGCATAACTATCTACACAAACTAAAATTCGGCAAATCACAAAATATTTTCCCACTGAGGTTTCAACTGGCGAATACTTTTTTTAGTTTGGAGTGTGAAACTACACCCCGACCTAGACACAGCCAAATACAAATATTACTCTGGAATGGCAAAAAGCTCGGAATTTCTGCCTGTGACCTAAAAAACGAATAAACGTCTCACTAGCCAAGAGTCGTCTTAAAGTAATAAGTGTGAACGAGGCTTTATTTATTGCAACTAGTGTAAAAGTATATTTTCTTGTAACTAGAAAGTTTTAACCCTGAGGGTAATCAAAAATTTGTATAAGCTTCTTGAAAAACATGTTTTTAACAAAGAGAAAATACGTTTTCTCTATAATAATATTACCATTAAAGTTACGCCAAAATACATTGTGATTTCCAGTGGGTAGGCATAGGCCTATTGTAAGCTACCTATATTATACAGTAACCCTGATAAACAAAATTGCGGGTAGTTTTGAAATTCACCGATAAACGATTAGTCGGGTAGACCACATGTTCGATCACCGTGAACAGTGTCGCCATCGGCCAATAAATCTATACTTCTATACTATCTATATCTAATATTATAAATGCGAAAGTAACTCTGTCTGTCTGTCTTGCTTTCACGCCTAAACTACGATGAAATTTGGTATACTTAGGGATAGTTTGAGTCCCGGGAAAGGACATAGGATAGTTTTTATCCCGGTTTTTGAAACAGGGACGCGCGCGATAAAGTTTTTCTGTGACAGACAAAATACCACGCGAAGCCGCGGGCGGAAAGCTAGTCCTTTCATAAACTGATGCCGAGGAAAGCTGAAACTTTTGTACGTTATTTTTACATTACAGGCACTATTACGCAATACGTCCATTTCAAGGTGATCGTAGAAAAAACGATTTTCCTTGACCATGACGGAGTTTTATGACTCTATGGGTCAATAGAGAAACATTTATAAAAGTTTTAGCGGCCCGCCCTCGCCTCGCACGGGTAGCTTTAGGCTTTAGGTCTGTATTTAACAATATGTTTTTCTTTTATTTTATTTTTTCGTCAATTTTCCAATGTTGTAAAATTCTGCTATTCGGGATAGAGACAAGAAATCAAGAACCATGAAAATCGGTCCAGTCGTTCTCGTATACATGAAGATAAAATCTTTTCCGAATAATGTTACCAACTTATTATTCGATTAGGGCTGATTTTTCCATCGTCCTATAACTTTTAACTAAAGGATAAGTTTGGTACATTGACAGTTTAAGTATGGGAAATAAATGTCCAAATGACAAGTTTATTCTTCAGTTAAAAGATATCCGCATACGCATTAAACATATACTTTTATGCGTAGTCCAACCTTGCTAGCGAAGTTTAACTTCAAAGTACCATTACGAATACCACGTAAACCCACTGAACCTCTCTCCCGCCCCTTTCGAAAAACTGTTCTAGGAGCCAACTCTCCTATATGTCGGATCTGTAAGGTGTACAATAAATGTAGTGGTCCCCTGGACGTGCATTTCATGTCCCTACCCAAATTCAAGGCTACAGCAACCGACTCTTTATCATAAAAATTTAACTTATAATAACATCATTTACGCTAAGTAGCAACTTATATTTCTTGATAGTGCAATTAGCCTAATATTTTGCGTATTTTTTAACATATTGTGTATTGTTGTACCTATCGTTGGTGTACCTAATAAATAAATATAACATATCGTCATCATATCTGTTCTCTGCACACTAATCCTATCATGATAGGTAGGTATTTTCATTAGCTTAGAACAATGGCGGATCACTAACCCATGACATGACACGAGGCGTGAGAATCAGTCGCTGTTAGTGCTGTAGCAATCAGAGACTTGATTACTGATAATGCTATGCAAACCTTGTCTAGCGTCTTATCACTGATGGTGTTAGTATTAATTACTAGTTCCAGGTAAGCGTGGTTCGAACTAGGCTAGGCTAATCCTAATTGATAAAGTGGACAGATTCCTATTGTAACTACAATCAGTTTATTTGTAACTTAACAAAGCATCCTTATGTAAGTACTTTTTCAACCGGCAGACAGTGGTGACTGAGTTTGTTGCGGCGCGCTTCTTCTCAGCACTTGCCAAATATTGGTCTCGAAGCGCAAAAAGATTATGAGACATGTGAAGGCTTCATAAGAGCAAAACTTTTAAATCTTTTTATTAATTAAGTCTTTTATTTTTTTATTTTAATATTTGACGATTTGTAAGTACTATTTTAATAGTCCATGCTATAAAGGAATTTTGACATTGACTTTGACTTATTCACAACATCTAAGGACTACACACAAGCGTACTGACATACCGGCGACAAAGTGTCGGCGGCTTTATATAAAAAAAAATCCGACAGCATGACAAAACAACATGAAAAAATCACGTGCTTTTCTTAATGGCATTTTATGTGCTCCTCATCTAGTTTCACTCTATTTCCTCGGCTAGTTATATTTTTAAATTATTTGTTTGCCCATTTAGCGTTTAATATTGATTTCAGATATTAACAAAAAATCCGCAGAAAGGATAAGACTGACTTTTCTATTATTATTTTTACATTCAAAATTTCAAATTAATTCATATTTTTAGATCTTAAACTTTTAAATTATAAGTTCATAATATTGATTGTTACAACAGTTGAACCAATAAAAATTCATAGCAGACTTATAAACTCGGAAAGCGATCGACACCGTACCGCCTTTTGGCGCGAGGCGTTTACGTTTCGGTGCGGATTAGTGTGCGTTACAATTTGGAGTTTCATACAAAGAATACTGACCGCCTCGAGTTGATACGGTTAAGACCCCTTTCCGGGTTGATAAATGTGCGACGACCTTTATTCTACCAACTAACCACATAGATCGCACCGCGGCTTCCAATCAATTCAATTATGTTACCATTGACTATGCAGATAGTTACTGGAATGATAGTTAATTATATCGGGTTCAAACCCGGGAACGAGCGATGGTTAAAAACTACCTATTCGAGATTCGAAGAACTCTAGTTCGATGGTGGTGTAACACAATGATTATATGTACAAGGTCACCTCCAAAAGACAGACGAGATTTAAGGGATAAATAAAACATCTTCAATTAATTAGTTTTATATAATACAACCATATTTTTAGAATGAGATTTTTTGATGTTATGTCGAGTGAACCCGAAGTGCTCAGTGCGGTCCGGAGACATGGCATCGATCGTGCCAGACAGTGCATCCGTGTACAAGGACGTCACGTCCAGCAGCTTTTTTGTGTTTATACGCGTTAGATTGCATTCAAAGAACAGTTCCCAACTATAGCTAAAACTAGCTGTGTTACCTACGGTTAAACGTAGCTTTATTGTGTTAATCCAGGGTGTCAACTAACTCCATAATAACCTAATTTTATTAAATTTGCACTAGCTGTTTAGACGTGAAGAAGTAACAAACATACACTACACACTCACAAACTTTCGCCTTTATAATATTAGTGTGAAGGTGTGATTATCTGTCTATTAACCCCCTTACATTTCCACCAAACGTCACTTCAAAAATTTAAGGGGTAAAATATTCATCTGAATTATCAATTTCCTCTTAAACGCTAGCTCATCGCATATCATGCAATAGTTATATGTAAATCAATTCCTTGCACTACGACACACTAATTAATTGCGTTATTGGGTACAATTAAATCAAGTCCGCGGTGAGAAGACGGTTAATTTGGGAGTTAATTAACCTACGGTAATGCTTCAACCACACCAACGCGTTTAGATCGCCATCGCCGGCGCGATCACGGCGCGATCAGGGCGCGATCACGGCGCGATCAGGGCGCGATCACGGCGCGATCAAAGGCCAATGATAGGTCGCGTGAACTGTCATAGGTCGCGCGACCTGTCATAAATCGGATTTCATCGGCGATGGCGATCTGCACACGTTTGTGTGGTTGAAGCTTTAGAGTAGGCGCACACCGTTGATTTTTCGTCGGCCGATAGTTTAGTCGGGCAGTTGATCAGTATGGGCATGTATGGGAGTGCGCACACTACGCCGATTCGATTTGGCCGATTCTTCATACAAATTAAAATCGGTCACAACTATCGGCCAACTAAAAATCAACGGTGTGTGCGCCTACTCTTATTGTACACTAAGGCTGGGTTGCACCACCTAATTTTAACGGTAACTCTGACGATAACCGGTGCTTTTTGTATGGAGTTTGACAGACTTTTAACGTTTGTCAAAGTTAAAGTAAGATGCTGCAATTTAGCCTAAGTAGGCAGATTAACGAATCCGTGAAAATTGTAAGACACGTCTCACATAACTTAGAGTTACTTAAAATATTAGTTACACACTCAAGTTTCTAAACGCGTTAATTAAGCATTACCACTCGTATTATGTAGATAAAAATAGATACATGCTAATAAATATCAATTACCTGCCTTTGATAAATCGTGAAGTAAAAGTAATTAATTAACCTTTGCCTTCAACGAAGTAAAATTTCTATGTCAAACAGCAGGGTGATCTTGCTAGCAAAATAACTATTTATAAAAGTAGTCCACGTATTTTTTTCCATATAGGTAGTTACCTAAAACTCTTATTATGTTTTTAGTGCCAAATAAATGTTTTTTTCTTTCTTTCTTTCTATGTGTAACCGTTGTTTGAATTTAAGATATTTAGCTTCGGCAACTTAATAGCCATTGATTAATATTGTCACGGGTCCAATGTCTTAACTCTCCCGGTGGGACAAACTTGGCCTTTACTACTTATTGTCGGTTAATTTGTAGATCCTGGCTTCAAAGTAGCTCCAGATGGTAGGTTGGAATAGTTCCCTGCGGTTTGGTATAATTTACTTTTCACACAAAGGGGAAGCTCGCATCTCACTCACAAATTGATAAGTTTCAGGCCATAGACAAAAGCAATCATAACGGGAAAGACTTCAACCGCCAGACAAAGTGGTGACTGACACTCGTATTCACAAACATTACTATGAGGTCTCACAGTGTGCGTGGACGCACAGGGTGACACACGAACTAATCACAGAGCTCTATTCAACGCTGTGCGTTCGATTTGCTACTCCACTTAAGCAAACATCGTTTGTGAATACGGGCCTGAATTTGTTGCGGGGTTTTTTATCAGCACTCGCCAAATGTTGGTCTCAAAGCGCTGGTAGGGAAAAATGATTATGTTATGAAACATGTGAAGGCTCTGTTAGAGCAAAACTTTACAAAATTTTTCTTATTAGCCTTTCATTTTTTATTTTATTTTAATGTAATGTCTTTCGCGCAAATGTCCTTCGCGCTAGTGTCTTTCGCGCAAATGTCTTTCGCGCTAACGTCCATTCGCGCAAGTGTTCATGTGCGCAAATGGCTTTTCGCGCTAGTGTCATCGCGCAAGTGTACCAGAACCGCTGATACACGTTTGGTACATTGTTGTTTTGGCGAGATCCTTACCGGAAAAGATGCTGGCCAAAGCAGCGATGATGAAGCTAAAGATGACAGCCGGACCAGCGAACTTCCTAGCCACCATGCCAGCCACCAGGTACATGCCGGTGCCCACGCATGAGCCCACGCCCAGCGATGTCAAGTCGTTGGTGGTCAGGCATCGCTGTAACAAAGAGAAATAACAATGTAAGCATTTTATTTTATGTCTCATACTAGCGGCCGCCCGCAACTTCGTAAGTACGTGTGGATCCCGTTTTACCCCCTTAGGGGTGGAGCTTCGTAAAATCCTTTCTAGCGGATGCCTACGTCATAACATCTACCTGCATGCCTTTAAGCCCGATCCGTCCAGTGGTTTGGTCAGTCAGTCAGTCTACCTTTGAGTAATATGTACATATATTATTTAGTTTAAAAAATATCACAAACTTAACTTACTAAAATAACAAGTTGTAGTACGAGTAGAAAGAAAACTTTCAGTTGAGTCCCTAGAGGAAATCTGATGTTTCAAGGACCTATCTGACGGAGGTTTCGAGTTCACTTCTCCAGGGAAAAGATAGAGTGATGAGTTAAGTACTTATATCAGATCACAGACGTAATTCATTTACTTATACAATATACTAGCGGCTTCGTACGAGTGGATCCCGTTTTACTCCCTTAAGGGTTGAATTTTGTAAAATCCCGTCATAGTGAGCACCTAAAATTTGAAACTCCTATCACTTGTAGTTTCTGAGATTTCGTGATGAGTGAGTCAGTCAGTTTTCACCTTTAGCTTTTTGAAACAGGGACGCGCGCGATAAAGTTTTTCTGTGACAGACAAAATTCCACGCGGGCGAAGCCGCGGGCGGAAAGCTAGTAAAAAATAAAAATAGACCTCTAAACTCTTTTTGATTTCGTGGCGGCTTTGCTCTGACCTAAAATTTGGTAAAAACAATACACATTCGTGACTTTCCCGATTCGAACTCTAGGTATACCTTACGCTACATTCTCTACAGACAGCGAAATGTTAAGAACCTTTGACAATAACCTTGGCCGTGAACAACGTTGGACAACCGTTTAAAAGATTTTCGAATATTAAATTCAAAAGGCAAAGTTTTTGCTTTTCTCCTTTACGTGACAAAATATACATATAAGGTTGAAAATGAAACAAGAATTGTATTGTGTTCGTACCGTCGCATTCTTATGATTTCTACCGTTTTGAATGACACTTGATCGGTAACGTTTGAAGTTATTCATTCACGAAACTCCGAGGGTGTTCAATTGAATTCATAATTATAAAGAACGAGAAATGAATTTGGTTCCTAAACATCTTCCGTCTATTGTTCTATTTTGTGATGTAATCACGTTTATTTTCGTTGAAAATAAACCTGCTGGGAAAAAAGACCATTGGGGTAATTTGACAAAACTGATCGCATTTAAATCAACTTTGAAAACACTCACTTGGCATGATCCCGTGAGGAAAACTAAATGTGAGTAAAAGTAGAATAACACAAAAATAAGAAGAATATGTCTACTTCGAGTAAAGGTGAACAAAACTATACAAACATAATAATAATATGATACCTTTTGCCGATATTAATTTTATTGTTTGCACAGTACGTACACAGTATATTATAGGTATATCTACTGTGGTACGTAGCTATAAGTTATTCTTATTTATTTTATGATTGAGAGTGTTCTATTGAGATCTTTTTTATTCTTGCAAATGAATATCTTTTTATTTATCTTCCTTGCTCTTTACTATTTCGAGCGAGTACTTACAAATAAACCTCTTTCTGCGAATAAGTATTTAAATCTAGATGTAATTTATTCCGAGAACTGTTCCATTTAACGTTTTCATAAAGAAATAACTATTTTAACTGAGGGTATTTGCTGCTTCTCTAATTGCACTGCATTTTCCAAGGAAATATTATCTGCACCGTTAGTTTGTTTACCAAGCTTTAGCCTCAGAAGTTAAGCCAAAGCTTTATGGCAATATCTGTAAGAAAGTTCAATACTTTCATTTAAACGCGTTCTGCGGATACAAGTTGGTATAAAATAATTTAGTAGTAAGTTAATAAAATCTTCTGGGATCGGCAGCTTAATTTATAGCTATAAAAGTAGGTTATAAATATGGACTTTAATTTTAAAGAACATAGACAAATAAACATTGGTAAAAAATTGGGTATTCCTCATTTATGTTACAAACTTGATATTCAACATTTTTTATACACATTGAACAGAAACTCATTTTTTTTAAATAGTGGCACCAAGTTTGGTGTTTTACTTTTACTCAAGTTTTAATACTTACTTTTTTAAATTATGGCTTCTTTTAAAAAATACTAGGCTTGTATCGCTTCGAACGCGTTTTCGCTATGATAAATCTCTAGTCCTGTTTATAATAGTAAGAACGACCTAGACGATACTTTTCCAATACAATAATTTAATATAAGAATCGTTTGTATCCGTTAGTTTTCTAGATCACTAGTGGTATACGAGAAGGAGAAACGTCCCAACCAAGACCGATATTTTATAAAACAGATCCTACGACAACGATAAAACACACTATAAAATAAACATTTTTATCACAGAAATGTAAAAAGATATTGTTTGTATTTTTAAATTTTTTTATTAAATTATTTTTGAAAAATGTTTAGTCTATGTAGCGAATAAGAGATGAATTATCTTAATGATTTATTTCTTACATCTTTTACAAAGTACAAAGGTACTTACTTTTTGAACGTACCGTTCTCAAAATATGAATTATACTAGTACTCAAAATATGCTTGCTTGATTCATAAACAATGCTTGCTTATGTGAATCAGCAAATCGAACGCACAGCGTTGAATGGACCTCTGTAATTGGTTCGTGAGTCACCCTGTGTTTCCACGCGCACTGGGAGACCTCATAGTTTGTGAATACGGGCGTGAGTGAGGTTAATCGGATAAATATTATCAAATCAAAGTACCATTGTATCCCTTGATTGTTACCTGTTGTGTATGCCTTAATAAATAAAATAAATAAATCAAAACAAGTGATAAGCATTTGATTCATAACATGTGTTCATTAATTAACCTTATATTAACGTTTATAGTTACATTTGTACAAAGAAATAAAAAATAGAGGCAGAATTTTACACATGAATGCGGATCCTTCAGAGTTTCAATTCAATGTACAAAAAGTTCAACATTTCTGTAACTCTGTTTCGCACGTCCTGAAATACTCGCTCGCATTTTAAACAGCTTTTTTGCTGAAAAGAATTAAACGAAAAGCTTGAGCATCGTGCTTTTTATCTCCTTTTTATCAAAGCGAGCTCTCAAAGTGTATTGTTAGTTGGTGTAACGAAATGGCAGCGATCGAGCTGTTGTAGTGAACTCGCGGGGCGCATTATGATGTCAATTTTTTATGGACTCTACAGTATCTTTTGACGTCTTGAAGCCAGTTTTTAGTAAAGGTAAATAAAATGCGGCCTGAATTGATAAAAATAAGTAAGTAGCTCTGTTCTGGACTATTGAACATTCCTAATACCTTTTATGATTAGAAGAAACCGCAAACATTTCCTTTATACGAGTAAATTGACATACATTACACTGGATTGTGATATTCAGACGATGGCAAATCAAGCTATACATATTGTGTGTCTTTTATACACGTAATAGGTTCGATTTTTCAACAAAAATGTAGGTATACATACTTACCTACCCAATCTTTCCTTTCGATTTACTGTCATCCGTTAGAACTTGGAAGCGTAGAGATGCGATACCTATCGCAAACATATCACATTGTACAGACGCGGATTTGCCCAATAGACTAAGAGCTAGTGAACGCCAGACCTACGTCATTTTATAAAAGCTGAAAGTTTGTCAGCGTATGCTCCCAATGTAGGGTATAATGTTGGTGAATTATGAAGTTTGGGTCATGGTGGCTTTGGGAGCTACCCTAAAAAACTGTCTGGCAAGAAGTTGGAACTGTCAAAACTGTCTGGCTGTTGGGGAAAATACTCCTAATTATTGCCCAAATATTATACATAAAAATGAGATTTTCACCAACATTATATCCTATATTGGGAGCATAAGCTGACAAACTTTCAGCTTTTATAAAATGACGTAGGTCTGGCGTTCACTAGCTCTTAGTCTACAAGTATCAAAGTTGTATTATTTACCAGAACCTTCACGTAGTTTCGTATATTTTCAGCCCTATGTTCGTAGTTTGCAACTCAAAGCCGGTGGATGTCTCGGACAGTTTAATTACATTTAGAATACGGCAACAGGTTTTAATATTCACGAGTAATACAGAGGGAATAGCTAAGAGACGGGACACATGTGAGGATGAATGAAATTAACTATGTACTGGCATGTTAATTAGTATATACTATAGTAGGTACCATACCTATTATGTTGCTGGATACCGATATTATTTAGAAGTGCTTAAAAATATGTGTTTAAAATAATGTAGGAGTATAACAAGAAATTAATTGAGCTGATACTTTAGAATAGTACGAGTATACTCGTATGTAATAAAGTGCTTTTGGCTCCAGCTGGATTTACATAGGTACATTAAAATAAAAGTACAGTGAATACTAACTTCAAAGGCAAGCTGAACGGTACAACTGTTGAATTATATTTGACTTTAATAGTCAAGTCAAAGAATAAACTGAGGTCACTTGGTTCGTGTGTCCACGAACAAAGTCATAGAAGTTCACGGCTACTTATCTAAAACTTCCCCTGTACTACTAAAAGGAATATAACCCACTTTGTAGAGTTAAAATTAGTGTAAGTTCATATTAAACGCTTCCACTGGTGTATTCTAGGGAATATGATTTAAGTTGCGAAGTTGAGATACAACTGTCAAGCAGTTAGCTCACGTTGAGTATTTGCTTTTAGATTGTAATGAGATATCTTGCGCCCCATGGCGTAGGCCTAATTGTGTTTGAGCCAACTCCACAACGGTTTGAGCTGACTGAGGTGCAAGTTAACTCGTTATTTGGTGTTATGAATGTTGTATCCCCGTTTATAACTTTACGGCAGGCGTTTTACGCTTGTTTTTGACAGGTTTAACAGTCAAGAATTTCCTATAGAAATGCTTTTTTGGCAACCCTAATGGGTTATGGCTAAGAAATTTCTTTAATCTAAAAGAGCCCTTAATATCACTACACATTATAAAACAAAGTCGCTTTCTTGTCTTTCTGCC